TGTGGAGGGCCCTGGTCTGGTCTACTTGTTCAAACACTGAACAAGGGACTCCAACAGGACCGCAGTCTTGGAGAGACACCTGAACCACTCAGACACTAGACTGACACAGAGAGTTCTATTCAGCAAGGCTACTAATGGGTGAGCTAAGAAGTTTAAGGAGTCCAAGCTCTGGCTTTAAGAATGGGGAAGTTGAAGTTCATGAGGCTCCAAGATTCAGCCAGTGCCACCATGTAACCGCTAACCACAACAGCTGTTATCAAGTCTTGGAACATTTGGTACAGTACACTGGCAACATCAGACCGTACAGCCTAAGTTTTCATGTCCAAACTAGTTATTGTCAGCATCTTTGGAGAATACGCTGAAAATGGATGAAAGTTGTTCTTACATAAGCCACCTCGGAACATTAAGTGCTCAAATTATTCCCCCAGTTCGATGCAGTTCATGAAACAATCCTACAATGTTCTCAAGGCTGGGCCTTGCATCTCCATGGTGAAGAATACAGTTAGCTCACATCAGGGTTCCCTGGCCCCAACAACACACAGTCGTTAGATGAAACTGTAAACACACCAGCCCCTGACCTCTTTCCCAGAACTCATCTAAATGACTCTGGCCTTTCTAGACATCATACCCCTGAAGTACTTTCCCTTCAGCACTCCAATTGCTCAGGCAACCATCTGTGACTACATTGCGGAGATGCAGCCTTTGACAGTTCTGCTGGGGAGTTAGCACCTCTCTTTCCAAACCAAATGACTCTTCCCCAGGCTGGCTTCTTTACAGGAAAATGATACCAGCAGGTTCTTATTTCCATCTCTGCAGGAAAGGTTGCTCAGAAGTTGAGTTTCAACGGCTCCTATTAAAGTACTGAGTGTCTGCTGAATGATGACCAAACTCTTAATATTCCTCTTAAATAGACATTTACTAAGCAAGGGCTGTTATGCCTCTCAGTATGCAAGCCAAGTAGATTCTCAGAAAAAAATAAAAGAGAATTAAGCACATTAGGAAACAGCAAGCTTGCATCCTGACTAAGTGACTCAGAGTCAAGGATTATATTTGGTAGAAGGGTGCGAGGGACTGACCCCCACTGTCTATGGAAGGTCCTTCCACAGCACAAATAATAAACGCTAAATGAACAAAGGCAAAGGTGCATGGAATGGATGAGCAAAAAAGAACGCCAAGTCACTTTGGACCAAGGCAATGGGACTTCATTTAAAACATGGCCAGTGCTACTTGACACTCCTTTAAATGTTCCGTGACATGACGTAGAGCATGGCGTGTATCCAGGCTGGAGACAAAAGCTCATGAAGGAAATAATTTTCATTCTAATCAGTGGAGGAGTCAAGAAGGAAAAACTCTCCGGGGATGGGGAAGGGGCTTCTCAGATGTTGACCACACTCAAGAGAAGGGGTGTGGGAGCAGGAAGGCTCAGACAGACAGACAGACAGACAGACAGACGGACGGACGGACGGATGAAGTTTCCCCTCACAAAACGCCCGTCTTCCACTCTCACAGCGTTTATTCCGCCCTGCTTCATCCTGAAACCCCAGGTTTCTTGAGAAACAAATTAACAACAAGGCTCAAATACACGGTGACTCAGGTGAGGCACATCCTGAGCCCCTGGAGTCCATGTACTGCTTTGTGAACAATCTGTCTATCCAAACACTTGGGTTTATCATTAGTATCATTATTACTCAATTTAAAGCATCTTTAGACATCAAGTTATTATCCTCTTCATCAAGACAGAGTTACCTTTTAATCCTTTCTCCATAAGGACATAGAGTCCCAAGGTAAGCCATCAAACCAAAATAGCTCTACAATGCCTGTGTAATGACAGTGGCTTTCTCATTACTCATATACCAAGAACCATTTCCATGCCTGGAATGCACATAAACGTCCACTAGAGACACACTTAGCCTGGGCAGACCAGCTGCGAAGAAATTATTTAGACAGGAAAGTACTCTCTCCACTCCAACTCTATGAACTCGGTTCTTTTGGCCAGCCACTCACATAGCTCAGCAATGAAAACCAACAAACAAACAAACAAAAAAAAAAAAAACTAGAGGCAGTATTTGGAGAAGTCTAGGAGGCACAGAGCATGTCACAGGAGGCGGGCTTTGAGACTTCAGAGCCTTACCTTACTTCTAGTTGTGATGCTACAGTCACTGGACACTGACCTCTATGGGACCATGAGCCCAACTTCCTTGGTCATGGCAGTTTATCACGGCAGCAGAAAAGTAACTGATCCAGGAACAGACATAGGGATAGTGATTTCTGCAGACCTCCCTGTGCTACCTCCTACCTAAATAAGTAAAATAATAACAATGCCTTAAAGTTTACCTAACGGCACAGTACAGAGAACCAAAGGCTAAGATCAGTTTCAGTTTGAATGTCCTGGGAACAATCTAGAAATTCATGTTACTGCTCTTTGAAGGTAAACTACAGAATGGTAACTGGGGTTTGAGGAGGTAATAAGGGTTATTAATGACCGCATAAGAAAAGAGAACAGACCTACTATGCTTTCCTTGACTTGCTATGTGAAGCTCCCTGCAATGTTATGGTGCAGCAAGAAGGCCCTGGAAGGGATGCAGGGGACCTGGATTTGATTCCCAGCACCCACATGGCAACTCACAGCCACCTGTAACTCCAGTTCCAAGGGAGCCGACACCTTTTTCTGGCACACATATGGTTTACAGGCATACGCGTAGGCAAAACATGTATGCAGATTTTTAAAAAGTCATTCTGTGCCTCAAAACTGTAAGATTTTAGCAGGAACGTAATGACCAACCGTGTTTCTGAAAATTCCAAAGGCGGATGCAAGCCTGGCAGACCAACACTTGATTCCAGCACTGGGGAGGCGGAGGCAGGTGGGTATCTGTGAGTTTAAGGTCAGCCTCATCTACATAGAGAGTTCCCAGCTAGCAGGGCTGCACAGCAAGACACGGTCTCTAAATTAATAAATTAATTTTAAAAACAAGAAGGGCAAAAGACCCTTTGAAGGATCTTTGGCAAGAACACAGGCATCAAGTGACCTCTGGTAACTGGGCCTCACTACGCGCCCCTGCTCTGGTGCCCAGGGATGGATCTGAGGAGAGAGAGGAGGGCATGACCACACAGCAGGTAAGGAAACGTGACCTGAACTTCTGCAATGTATCTTACACACAGAAGGCCTCGTAGAACAGGGGTGCTGTGGACTGTGTACACACCGCCAGCGTTTAACAATACCTGGCACACAGGAGGCTTCAAAAAAGTTATTTGTAATTAAATTACTGTTACAACTCTTATTCATAAATATTCTTAAAGCCAGTAGCAAATTTCCCAGCTGACGATCGCTACCAAGAAGGCAAAAAACTAGAATTTTCCCATGATGAGAATGGATACCCATTCCTGTGTTGTTTTGGGATTCATGTACTTCATCAACAAAAATATACTAAGTCCTTGCATGGCAGGTTGAGGACATAGCATCTGTCAACAAGACAGACGTAATTTCATCCTTACAGACCTTCTATTCTAGTCACTCTCCCTAGCTTTGGGCTGAACCACAGGTCTTTTGGGTGGCCTTGGGGCCGTTGCATTTTTTATTTCCTCTTCCAAATAATCAGACATTCCTGACACATGTGATTGGTCTCTTCAGATATCTGCTTAAATGGACCCTTAGTAGAGAGGCTTTTGACCATGTTAATTAAAAGTGAATGCCAACTCTTGGTCGCAATACACCCCCAAGCGTCTCATCTCTTCTCTAACGTCCTCCACAGCATTTATTAGACCTGACACACATACCTATCTGTTCACAATGTGAAGATCAAACATCCCTGTTACATTCCTAGGACCTACAAGGGACAGGGCACTGAATTCACAGGCATACAACAAATGACTACAGAATGGGTGTCCTTTAAACATGCACCCACAAGCAGTTTTTCACTCAAACTAGTTCTTAACCCTACTAAGAAAATCCTGCACTTATAGCGATGACATCAGACAGTTTCCCAACTGCCTCCAACTTGCCCACTGGCTTTACCATCTGCTTTAAACTGTCAGAGGTAACTCCCACTTCACACTCCAGGTCACTAATATGTGCATTTCTACCAAGACCAAGGATAAACACTTCCTCACCCTCCCAGAATATGAGTGAACCACAGTCAACACCAGGACGTGAAGCTGGGGGTGGCTCCCATCATCATCCAAGAACCTACTTTGTAGTATCGCACACTGGGTCTCAAGGCTTGGGAGGAAAGCGCTGTCAAGCCTGTCCCAGGATGATCACTGGCCCTGCCACACCCCCAGCTAACCAGTCCTTTTCTGTTCTTTCTGGGCAACACGCAGCAGATGCAACTATTTTATCTTTCCTCAAACCATCAAGCCAGTCAGACTAGAATACAGCTAAGTTTTAAGATACAATCCTTCATCATTTTTCTCCACCCTGGCTTTATTCTCCTCCTGCTCGTCTGATGTATTCATGAAAACCGAAGGATAAAACTGCATCACCTGCTAGCTCGTGCCTCACAACCACAATCCCATAGGAAGGCAAGCCGTCAGTTTATACAGCAAGACTCATGGCTAAACCTAAAGCTTTCAGATACTCTGCCTGTCCCCGAAATCTGAACTTTCCTTGTACTTTGTGGCCTTGGCATCTGTCTTTAAACTACTTACAGCGTTTCCTGACAGGAATAAAAATGCCTTCTTCACTACAGACACACTCTTTTGTTTCTTTAGCGAGGAAAATCTAGCTTTTCTCCTCTTACTTATTCCAGCCTCACGGTCCTCTGCTGGTTGAAATCCCGCTAACAGAGGTTCCCTTGTTCCACTGCATTTCCAGTCCCTGGTTCACCATCTGCTTCACTAGTGAAAGTGGTTAAGCTGCCGAGTGCCTTCCCACTCCCACAATTCTGCTTGCTCATTAGTATAACTGGAATGAAATCATCCTATCTGCTTTGCCCAGTGCTACCAAGGGCAAATATCAAGTCAGACTGCCATTAAAGCATTCCAGAAAGTTCCAGTGACTATACCTGAATAAGTGTGGTACTTCTGAAAGAAGAGGCCGCGGCAGCGGCGGGGTTATCGACGCTGCATTAATCTCTTGGTCTTTGCTGGGACAGGGCACACCTGAAAAGGAAAAGGGAGAAACGAATTGCAACCACTCTAAGGTTTGGGAAAGAAACCCAGATGTCCCTTTGTCCCCTTTCCCATCAATAAAGATTAGAGTTCTAAGCAGGCTTCCTGCCCCCATCCACACAACGCAGCAAGCAAAAACTCACCATGCCTTCAACCACTTCTTAATGAATTCCAAACTTTCTGCGCAGTGATAATAAGTGTGAAACCAAGCCCTGGTGTAGATTGAAGACTTGAGAGTGGGTCATGGCAGTAATAAGTGAGCAGACATCAATCTAGAGAAACCACCTCTGGTTGTTACTGTCATTTGGCATGAGTTTATTTGATCCAAAACGTGCTTGAGGATTTTGCCTTTTATCTTTTAATCTAGAGAGATCTAGAGAGAAACCACCTCTGGTTGTTACTGTCATTTGGCATGAGTTCATTTGATCCAAAACGTGCTTGAGGGTTTTGCCTTTTATCTTTTAATATGTACATGGTAAATGAGGTTACCTCTTGAACAGTTCACTTAATGTTCTCAATTATAGTATCAGTCACTGAACGATTTCATGCAAATTGTTTTAGAACTGGGTCTGAGCTTCCTTCTCTGAAAAGCAGGTTGCTTCATCTGGTTATTGTGGAGGGGCCAGGAGACAGAACGTGCCCCATTGGATGTTGTGAATGGGAAGAGTTCAGTGGTTTGACCGTCACTCAAAGTCCACAGCAACCCATCCCTTCTTTGCAGAGAGGGAAATGCCTTTCATGAATAAAATGATTTTTAAATGCTGTGGTGACTGTCACCCAGTTGACTCACACTGGTTTCTCCCAAGAACCTACTGTCAAGAGATGTCACACAAAGCAATTTCCTACTTCTGAAAAAACATGAAGGAGTCACAAATAGCATTCTTTTTTATTAAGAAACAAGATGACCAAAGGAGGTAAGGACGACAGAAAAAGATGAAAAGACAATGCTGTCCTTTAAATGGTACTCAAATAGCCTTTACTCTTTAGAGGCATCTTCTGTTGAACTACTATGAAAAAGATGCTTTTTTCCAGTATAAATATATGCCTCCACACCCCCAATATTGTTTTAAAACACTGCACAACAGACAGAGAATGCAGGAATGTGAACCACAGGCGTGGTAATTATTGGCAAGCGCAGGTGTCTGAACAGAGGGAAGCTAAGGGGAATGATATACAAATCCTTCCGCTTCATTAGGTTTCTAAAAATATTCTCAAAATACAAAGGCATGGGTACTGCATAAATCGATGAGAAATGTAATCAAAGGGGTTTTGTGAATCTTGACCATAGCCCAGACACAAGTATTTTGAAATTTTTTTAAAAAAGGGAAAAAAAAAAACACAAAAAGACATGATGTTATGAACCAAGCCAGCAGGGCTTAAAATAAGCAGAGAAGTTGGACAAAACAAAATGAATGCACGATAAAAGTGAGGACAGATTTTTTTTAAAAATCTGTTCATACTTAGCTAGAAAATGTAGAAATATCAGATGCTCTGAGGCCATGAACAGACTCTAAGGCTTCTTTTCTGAACTAGGTGTTAAATCATTTTGAGTTTGATTCCCACAGGACTCAGGAGGGAGGAAACGAACAAAACTAGTGCATCCAGGCAACCACCAAGAGGAGGTGGCCTGGCTCTTCCTGCTGTACTAGGAGGTGGCAAGCCCAGGACTAACTGGACTCCACACAGGATTCCTTCCAGATCCCATTGGTCAATGGACCAAACTCGTTTGCATAGATGCATCCCTAACTACGTGTGGCTCCAAGGGGAAGAGAAAGGATGAAGTTACATTCCCTAGACACCTGTCAACTTGCCTCTGTAACTAAGATACAGTGAGATCTCCAGAAGACAAGTATAACAAGGAGAAGCAAAGCATTCAAACAGTCTAACTTCACAGTATCTTAAAGTCTGGAACTAATAGTTCTTGATTCATGTAAGCTTTTAATCTAATGACCTATACCAAACATATTATGGAAGGAAAGGGGAAGGTCAAAGTTACATTCCTTCACCCAATAATAGCAAAGTGTCTGTCCTAATGGTGGCCAAAATCAATCAGAAATGACCCGCCAACTCCTCCTTTTGATACCAACGTCTCAGTCTTTCCATAATCCCATAGCACACATCTGACCCTTGCCTGGCCAGTGACTTCCCTGACAATTCTGGTCCCAGCAAGTGATTTGGACTAGGTCCATGATCCAGGCAACAACCAACAGCCCACAAGTAAGTGTGGATCCAACCACTGCTCAGGGTGCAGGACTGCTAAGAGGCACTCCCCTAGAGAACACCTGCCTGAGAACAAACCCAGATGAGAAAGACAGTCTGTGGCAATACAGCAGAGCTCAGGTACCCAGACCCTCCTCTCCCTGAAGCTAACCCTCCTGTGACTGTTTTAGCAACGTAAACCAAGAGCTTTTTTTACTGTTCTGATACTGCATGGATGTCTTTCATTTACAAACAAATGGCCTCAGACATTATTGCTTCCCCATTCCTTTCAAAACTTTTAAAGGATCAATTCTTCAACCAGATAGTCCAGCCTTGATTATAAACATAAATAATAAAAATAAGATAGGCATAAGTCTTTTGAAATGGAACACTCTGAAAAATCAATATCAAACATTGATAATAGCCTCTGAATCTATGGAGCTTTTGGGTGGCTATATTATTTCCTCACTCAAAAAGAAAAATGTCAGAGGCTGGAGAGATGGCTCACTGGTTAAGAGCACTGGCTGCTCTTCCAAAGGACCTAGGATTAATTCCCAGCACCCACATGGCAGCTCACAACTGTCTTTAAATCCAGTTCCAGGGACCTGACTCCCTCTCTTGGCCCCTGCCCGGCACAAGTGGTGCACAGACATACTTTCAGGTAAAGCACACACACATAAGATTCCATTTAAATTTTCAAAAAGGAAACCGTCCTTGGTACGAGTGAATATTTCCACCTGATCCTATTACCGAGTAGCTTCAGGTTTGGGAACACTAAGAGTCTCCCTACTCAGCACTGGTGACTACTGGAAGTTCATAGATGAAGTGAAAGGCTCTGCTGTTTGCATTCATTTCTCTTGAATTCACCGCCCTCGGTGGGAAGGAGATGCGCTCACAAGAACGCCATGTCTGTAAAGCGTCTCTTTGGCCCACCTCCCCACTGAAGCCTGGCCAGCCATGTGGGCAGGCCTGCCGCAAGTGCTGCTGCATCCCATCCGTACTCCGTCTGTATGTTTACGAAGTGTCCACATTACAAAATCCTCTTCAGGCTAGAGAGCACAGCCCTGTGCCAGCAGCCTCCACACAGAACATGCCAGCACCTCTGCTGACCCTGCCCTGGCACATGCAGGAGATGTCATATCTGATTGGCTCACACCATGACATGCGATGCTGGCCCTGGACCGCAATGGAAACATCAGCCGATACACAGTTGCGTGAAGGACAAAGGACTGGACGCCGAGGATGTAATCCTGGCCACCGAGGAGTGGTCTTAGATAAGCTGCCTCTTTCAGGTGTCCAGCTTTCTTCTCTTTAACATGGGGATGGGCACAAACAGATCAGTGAACGTCACTGTGTATCATGATCCAGGTGGTGGGTGGCAAAGTGGACATGATGAACCAGGACCAACTTTACAGCCAGAGAATATACACATGACACCGGAGCACCTGGAGCACCAGGAAGGACACAGGTGACCCCAGAGCACCAGAAAGAACACAGGTGACCCTAGAGCACCAGGAAGGACATGAGGTGACCCTGGAGCACCAGAAAGGACACAGGTGACCCCGGAGCACCAGAAAGAACACAGGTGACCCCGGAGCACCAGAAAGGACACAGGTGACCCCAGAGCACCAGAAAGAACACAGGTGACCCCGGAGCACCAGGAAGGACATGAGGTGACCCTGGAGCACCAGAAAGGACACAGGTGACCCCGGAGCACCAGAAAGAACACAGGTGACCCCGGAGCACCAGGAAGGACATGAGGTGACCCTGGAGCACCAGAAAGGACACAGGTGACCCCGGAGCACCAGAAAGGACACAAGGTGACCCTAGAGCACCAGAAGAACACAAGGTGACCCTGGAGCACCAGAAAGGACACAGGTGACCCTAGAGCACCAGAAAGGACACCAGTAAGGAAAGCCACACAATGGAACATCAAAGGCAAATGGTAGCCACCTGATGAAGTTGCCCATGGCTAGAACTCAGAAATAGTAAAGCCAGTGCTCCTGGGTTATAACCTCAAGCAGAAATCACCCATGTGTTCACAGTGATGTGTAGCAGGTAAGTACTGGGTAATGGGATAAAAACTAAATAAGCAGGAAAGAAAAACCTTCCATACAGACAAATGCCAGGACACTTAGCCAGACCCTCCACCCTCTAGGAGGCAAAACAGGCCTCCACACCATCAGGACGCACCAGGCACAGAAATGCACGCCATGGTAGCACATAACCTCCACAGGACATCATGAGAAAGCCACTTGACCTCTGTGAGCCTTCTTCCTCAAACACATAAGGATCACCAAGTCCAGTGGCAGCCAGTCTATAAAACACAGCCACCTGTCTCAAATCATGGAGGGAGCCTGTGGGAGCTGCCTGGTCATGAAAACACAACTTTTGTGAATGGATTGTTTTAAGGATTTCCCAGAGTAGAATCTTTGGCCTGTCCTTCCACAGTGTGAGGGTGCAGTAAGGCCACATCAGACGGCAGCACCTTGACCCTGGGTATCCCCGCTCCCAAAATTATACAAGGATAACTTCCTCCTCTTTATAAATAAGCTAATCTCTCTGTGTGAACCATATACATGTCTGTGTGTGTATACAGATGTATGTGCATGTGTGCAGGCATGTGTACAGATCGGAAGCTGATAACAGATGTCTGCCTCCATTGCTCTCTATCTCATTTTTTGAGATGGGGTATCTCACTGCGCATGGAGTTCAGATGACAGGATGGCCCCTGTCTCTCCTCCAAAGTTCTGGGAATATATGTATCACTGCACACAGCTTTTACATAGGTA